ACAGGCCTTACACAAGTTGATGAGACATGTACCACAGTGCATCTGTACCACAGCGGTCTTGCAAAGGGCACATCGCGTCGCGTCCTTGGTTTTGGTTCTGGGCTCCATTGCCGCAATGAATCTGAAATTCGTGAACCAAGATGTATACAGACGCATGTAAGTAAAGGCATAATGTTACGTTCGTGCATTTATATGATGGAAATTTTGAATAGCTTAGTTTTTAAACTTTAGACAGAACTGTCGTTCATTGATATTTATTTGAAAATTGGCAATAATGCAGCCTTCTCAGAATTTTTAAAATCTGATATCCCCCACCACCGCCATCAAAAGAGAGGGGTACATTATTGCCGCTAGACTGAATGAGATTTTTAATTTTCAAATAAAGATCGTTATAGATGAAAAGCACTTTAAATTATTTTTTTTACATTTTTTTTTGTGGTATAACACATTAAGTTTAAATGGATTCGTATTCATTTGTATTTTTCAGCTGAATGCTAATTTCATCTGTATTAAATTACCTGGCTATTAAAAATCAATTGTTTCGGCATAAAAAATCAAAAGATTCAATGGTTATGTTGAGATTATTTTTGTAAATGTTGCGCAATGCCCCGAATCTACATGACTATGTTTATTAAGTGTTATTCTTTAAAAAGATTATCAAAGGTAATCAGGTAATTGCCATATGATATTCAATTAAAGGCTTGTTTTACATTATGAACAAATATTTAATAAAACACAAACCTGGTGTCTATGTGAGGTAATTTCCTTTAGACATATTGGATTCACAGTTGTTTTTGTTGTGGGTTAACTTATAACATCTGTGTTTACCTGCTTAGTTACCTGAGGGTCATGTGATCTTAATTGTTTGAATTACTGATAAAGGAGTTGTCTTTCTTCTCAAACCACTATAATCATCAATTCCACAGAATTTATTGTATTTTTATGCCCCCATAAACGACTTTTCGGGAGTACATAGTTTTTGTCGTGTCCGTCCGTCTGTCTGTTTGTCTGCAAAAACTTTTAACACTGCCCATAACTTTTGACTGGGTGGGGCTATGGCTTTCATATTTCACAGGTGTATTCCTTGTGACAAGACCCTTCTTTGGGTACCACCAAATTTGACCTCTTGACCTTGATCTTGGAGTTTGACCCACTTTTACACCAAAATTCCAAACTTTTACGTTGGCCATAACTTTTGAACGTTTGGAGCTAGGACTTTCATTTTCCCGTATGTATTCTTTGTGAAAAGCCCTTTCATTGGATATCAACAACTTTGACCCATTGACCTTAAACTTGGAGTTTGACCTACTTTTAAAAAACTTTAACCTTGGCAATAACTTTTGAACGGTTTGTGCTAGGACTTTAATACTTCACATAATTAGGTATTCTATTGTGACAAGGCCTTTTACTGTCATTCTGTTACCATTAAACCAATAACCTTGACTTCATATCCCGGAGTTTTAATATAAAAACAATTACTTTTATTTTTCTAAATAATAAACGTTAATAACACATTTTTAAAAAACTTTATGATATTGAAATATGTTAAATTTCATATGCATTTGTGTTTCTTGTGAGAATGTATAGCAAACCTTTTTACAGGAGGGACAAATTATATTTATATAACTTAAGTTTTATTTTTGTTTTTCCTAAAATTATGAAAAATTCTTAGTTAATTTGCATAAACGCATAGAAGGCGTTTACCTTTAATAAACAAAAATTGAAGTGATAAATATTTTAATAGCACTTTACAATTAAATTTTGATTCCGCCAACAGGCTCCAGGCCCTGCATAAATGTCTTTTTTGTCCCGCCCTGCACGAGGTTTTTTTGGAATTTGCCAATATTTGACAAAATAAAGTTTTTATTTACATTTGGTAATTTTTCTCGGACAATAAATTTAAAAAAATATTCAATTTTTATTTAAAATGAGATTCTCTCTGTCCATCCTGAGATACACTGTTTTGTCCTTACTGTTACTGTTTTGTTCCTTCCTATTTTGCCATACGGGGGCATCAATGTTTCACAAACACATATTTTCATAGTTTAAATTGCTTTGGCAAACCACTAATCATAATTCCATATGTTTATTCAATTCATTTACAGCAGATTTTTTAAATTCTTAGCATATAAATATTAATCAGTAATGCTTTTCAATTCCTTTGTTTAAAAATATTGTAGTTTGACATGCTTTTAAACGTATATATAAATATGAATTTTGAACATCTGGCATTCAATGATATTTTTTTTTATTTTTTGACGATATACAAAAGATTATTTGATGAAAATTTTGAAAAAAAAGTTTTAAAATCTCTTTTTTTGAAAGTAACAGGAAGGACATTAAAATTTAAATGACTGAGATAAAATGTAAACATTTTTTAACTGAAATATTTTCTTTGACATGCATAGGTTATGGATTTCAGTAGTTTATTGATATATTATTCAAATAAATGATTTTTGAATCATAGTGAAACCACTGTGTCATTTTTCAAAAATATGTCATTCAAAAAATGTGCATTTTTTTGAAAATTTTTTTATAAGGCTCACCTTTTACCGCTGTTGTACATATCAAAAACAAAAATATCGAACACACGCGGTTTTAGAATACTGACAACCCATTCAGTTTAAGACCAATAATTATATGAAAAAAATTGATTTTCTTGAAAATGGAGGTGAAATATTTAACTTGCTGAACTAATGAATACCCTTGTAACAAGATGTAATATCTATATTTTAAAAAAATGATTGTGTTAAGATGACAAGGCCCTTTCTTTCAGGAATTTTTTTTCTAAATATTAAATAAAAATTATATAAAAATTTTGATTAAATCTGTCTTTACACCTATCACAATTCTTTGAACTTGATATACAGCACGATGGTTGTATTTTCTGTATGTACCAAAATGTGAAAAAAAATAATATTCCCAAAGGCGACAAAAGATTACAGTGGGAAAAAAGGTGTAGCAAGGCATAAATATGTTTAAATATCATTGTAAACAGCAGCGTGGAAAAGTTTTGAATAGAATTTGCATTTTCATGTGCTAATCAAAACATTAGAAGACACACCCATATAACTGTAATGAACCAATGAAATTCACATTGAATTTTTCAGAGGAAGAATTCCACCATAACTATGTACATAGTTCTTGGTTTAATACCCATTGGATTGAAAAGAAGATTATTTCAAAGAAATGAGGTTTTCAACAATATAATCTTTATAGCCCCTCTTAGCACTTTTTAACCCTGTGACCTTGGCCATGAAATTCACAATTTTACAATGAATTAAACATAACTTAACTTGGTTAGTTTATTTAATGCATAGATGCCCAGAAGAAGAATTTGATAAGAATTTATGCATTTTCAATATATAATTATTAGCCCTGCCCTAGCACCTTTAGGTGTGTCCTTATTTTCATGAAATTCTATCAGTTGCTTGAGAGTGTGCATTATTCAACATAACGATTTTTTTTTACCTTTTATTTAATGTTTTATTCCACTTTCAAAAACAAAAATTTATGCATTTTCAATATAATCTATATAGCCCTGCCCTAGCACTAGCACCCCTGATCCTGGGGCAATCAAAAAAAAAATTTTGCTAAAAGGAGAGAAAATTTCAACATAACTATGCATTACCTAGTTTATTTAATGACCCTTCAGAAATGTTTTCTTTCAAAAAAAATTGTTTCCACTATATAACCTTGTTTAACCTTTTCTTTCAATTTTTTTTTTTTAAATCTTAAATGAAGATTTTTTTTCCTTCAAATTTTACTTATAAACATGTACCAACTGCTTCACAATTCTTGATGTCCTGGAGCAAAGAAGAAGATTTTTAAAGATTGCACTAATTTTAAAAGTTTTGTAAGTACCAGTTTGGAACAAGAAATTCACAGACTTTTGTTATTTACCCATAGATGCTATATGCCAAATATATTTTGGTTCAGTGGTTTCAGAGAACATTTGCTGAAAATGTTCAAATGTTTATAGAAATTCCGGACGAAAACGAATAGCAATAGGTCACCTGAGTTTATGCACGTGACCTAACAATAATATATTTCAATATAAAAACAATCTTGGTTCAAATCCTTTATTGCATAACATATCTACAATAAGCTACGACTGATTCAGAGTAAATGCAGGAAAAATTGCAGTGAATAAATTAATGAAAATAAATACAAAAGGAATAAATAGATATACAGTGGAAAGCAAGATGGGCTAGGTAAGAAGTTACTCAGGTCTTTAAAGGGAGGCAAGATTTGTATCAAAGCCATAACTATAACAAGCAGAGATTCCAATTATCAAGGAAGTAAATGTTAACATTCTAACTTTAATAACTACCAAAGGAAAAGTTTCATACACAAAAAAATATCAAAGAAATATAAACTGCTTCAAAAAAACTCTGGACATGAATCATATAATGTATTTCGTTTTTGAAAACAATGGACGGATCATACAAGTACGAATAATGTGTAGGTACATGTGTAATAAAAAATAAATAAATAGAGTTGTCTCCCATTAGTAGCTTCATTCTATCATTGATTCAATGCAGTCTTCTTACACAAAGTTATTTGTACATAATCATTTAATCTAACATATCAATAACATAACTTCAGAAACAGTCATTAATTTACAAGTACTTCAAAATATCTACAAAAGTATAGGGCTCTGCAACTGGAGAAACAACTATGAATTGGCTGCACATTCTTTTGTTGTACCACTGATTTTTGTCTTCTACCATTCAGTTGTCAACTAACCATCATTATTATTGAAAAATATACATAATAATCACTGTGTACAAATTGTTCTGTTCAATTCACAGGAAAACTGGCTTTTAATTATGGCATAATATTGTACATCAGGTTAAAAAACTATTAACCTAAAGATGACAACCAAATTAAATATCATTTATACTATGCCAGGACATCACATGATAAATATTTCTTCTGTGCTTAGTCTAGTAAAGCTCTGTTAGTATAGTAAACGTATCACACCTTTATTATAGTGCTATATGTGAGAGGCTCCCATTTAAAAGTCTTCATTGTCACTATCAATAAACTCAGGGGAGGGGGAGGCCCCACTTTCTAACATATTCAGGTCCTGTACAAGTTCCCCCCTCTCACTGATGTAAGACTGCTCGAAGCTTTCCATGCTATAGTTATAATCACTCATCTTAGACTTGTGCTCGGGTGATTCTTTCTCACTCTGAATGTCTCGCTTTGACCGAGCCTTGCTCTCGTCGTCACTGAGTTTTCTGCCTCGAGGTTGAGGCTTCGGTCTACTCGGTAACTCCGATACTTCCGTCTCACTGGTCTCAAAGTCTGGCAGGTCTTGTAGGATTTCCTCTCGTAATCCATGAGAAAAGTCCTCAGAAAACAGATCCGATTTATTCTCTTTTCTCACGTCTCCTTGCTTTTTTCTGTTTTTTACCGATTCTTTTTCCTCCTTTGGAGAAACTCGTCCTTTGGTTGAGAAGTCCATTTTCTCTGATTGACTGAGGTCCTTTGCTGGTAAGATGTCTGCCACGGTGGAATTGTCTGGCCTGACATGAGAGAACATCCCGCTTGTTTCGTGTAAGATTCTCTCGTAGAGGTCGTCCTTCCTCATCGGCCCTCGATCATAACTACTGTCCTGGTACTCGCCCTCCATCGTAGGATCAACGTTCCTCATGTATTTCTCCTCATCAATGAAGGATCCGTCGTGGAAATCCCGGAACTTCTTGTCAAATGCGGACAAGTTGGCGTCGTTATCCCCACCCTTGGGGCCGGTGGTGGAGCTGCCCACCCTCCCTACAGCGGAGATGTCCCCAAAGTAGGAGGACTTCATGGTGGGTTTGGTGGGCCTGACGGGGATCTTGGAGGGGCTTGAGGTGTAGAGGGGTTTGTTTGACCTTTGACTTGTCTGTTTGGCCTGAGCCAGGCCCTGAGAGAAGGGTGACTCCTTCTGATCCAAGCCTGCCATAGTGATCAGCTGACCCAACCTTCAAACAGAAAAAATATGTAATTTACTTTTCATCAAAACACAATTATCATTTAAAAAACTCAGCAAACTAGAAAACTGACCAGTCAGCAAGGGCCCCGCCATGGGGTGGAATTATAAGGATGCAGCTTATGGAATGATTAAAAAATATATGAAGAAATAAGCAACAGCAACTGTATTCTTAAAATTTTCAACATAATTCCTGAATATCCAAAAACCTGTAAATAATATCCTTGTATATTTACATTAGGCACTGGCAGTAAAGAACAACCTAACATTGAATGTATTATATATAAACAATAATGAAGTTTGTGTTTGTGTTATATAAAATGCCAGTCTTCAATGAATGCAAATACATGTATCATGAAGGCTTGACCTTTTCAAAACAAACAGCAGTTGCAGACAAAGTTTTTCATTAATCTTAAAATGACAGATAAAGATAGGCCTACTAAATTTTCTTCAGCAGGCTAGATAATTAATCCCGAGGGATTAATTGTACCTCTCTCATCATTTTCTTCTAAAGTTACAATAAGAACTTTTTCAGTATTAATATTAGAATGGCTTAATCCAACTTAAAAATTAATATTATTCTTGAATTTACATAAAGGGAAAAAAGTAAAAATAAAAGATATGTCTTCTTTAATCTATTTCTTGTTTTTAGAATTCAATGAAATCATAACTCATTGTGTAGGTATTTTAACCAAAATAAAGTATAAACATTTATATCTAAATCCACATTTCAGAGTGTTCATAGCATTCCAAATTGACTGAACTTCAAAACAAACTTCATTTGTAGACAGAGGTGGTAATTAATCTCAATGTGACAGATAAAGATAATGCTTTGGATTTTCTTCAGGAGGAAAGCTAATTAATCCCAAGGGACTCATAGCAGCATTCAGTTTACAATGGAAACATCTTCAGCAGTTATCTCTCTTTGCCAAAGCATTCTTATATAAAGTTAAGGAATATACCCCACCACCCCAGCTCCAAACCAAGGGACATAGAGAAACAAACTTAGCATCAAAATATGTCTTTCTGCCTATTGAACTACCATACCAAATTTGATCTTAATTGGGCAACCATAAAAAAAGTTATTAGGAAAAAACAGGAAATTTGTGGAAAACAGACAGAGTGATTACTATAGGGCACCCGCAAATCCTTGCGGGGCCCTAATGATAAAGGATTTACCATGAAAGCTATTACATATCAAGAATTATTATAATATCTGGGACAAAATTTAAATGTTGGTTCACTAAGAATATTAATATTTAATCTTTTCACCATTTTTCAAAACTATAACAATTACAGAGCACAGTCTGCCCTGGAACAAGCTGATGTTTATAAGAACCATTTCTTGAAACATTTACAAATTATATCCACCATAGCCTCCTATGTTAACATTATTCAGATCCTGTTTTATATTTTTGAGTTTTGACACTTACCCTGCTTCCCTTAACAGATCCAGGAACTGGTGGAACTGTTTGAAGGAGGCCTCGATACTGTCCAGGACTTTATCATCGTCCAGCACGCTGCCAGACGACTGACCCTTCTGTCTCAGGACCTCATCTCTCAGCCGCTTGTTCTCCAGGGTCAACTACAAAACATACAAAACTGATCAACATATAATCAACATATATCACCACGTTCTAAAGGGAAGACCTGTTACATACATGTATTTAGTGTAAATACAGTTCAATTTTACTTTAAAATCAAATATATTTGATATTTGATCGTTATAAACAATATGAAATTTGAAACATCATGCCAGTTTCCAAGAAAGTTTTTAAATTCAACTTGCATAAGGATGCATAAGAAATGGATTTTATAACATTAAAAAGTCTATTGATTAAACAGATATATTAAAGCTTTCTTTCTTGGTTTTTATTGAACCTGACCTCTACTACTCTCTTGTCTGCACGTGCTCGAGCAAGCTTTTCCTGCTGCATCTTCCTCTTTACTTGGATAAGTTCAATCTAATAATTAGACATGACAGTAAAACATTACTTAAATTTAAAATTGTAACATAATTATGTATATTTACAGTCTAAACATTCTACCAATCCCCTTTCCCTTTGTTGAGCATTTGGTCCTTGGGTGTTCATGTTGGGTGGCAAATTGGTTTGGAGAATTCATATTATAAAACACTTTAACACTTTATTTTTAGTGCATTCTTTTTCACATATTATTCTAGCTGAAAAGTCATTTTCTTGATAAAACTTGATAAAGGAAGTCTTTATTGAGATTAAATCACCTCTAGAAATGTTGATTAAAACAACTGAATAAATTCTTAGACCCTACTTAAAGTCTTCACATATTAAACAAATTCATTAATTGCATGTGAAACTTGATCACCTGTTGATTTAACCACATGTTTATCACTACTTTAATGAGACAACTTTTGTCTCTACCTGTAGTTCCTTGACATTAGCGACGCCCGTGTCGAGGTTACTGTCGTCGAGTTTGAGTCTCTCCAGTTCCCTGAGCGTGTCCAGCTCTTCGTCCTCCGCGTTGATGAGTATGGACTGAGTGTGATCGGGGGAAGAGGTGGGGGAGGCCTCACTGTTCTCAAACAAACTCGCCTTACCAGGGATGTGTTCAGGCGGAAATCCCCTACAATCAACAGCAACTGTAAGTAATTTTTTCTCCAATTTCTCCAATTTACATGACAGAATTTTTCAAATTTTAGTCCACCTGCTATATTTTATGTACAAATTTAGGAAATATTCACTAGAGATTTTGATGTTCGTTACGAATGTTTGATGAAGTTTTAGACAAGTTCAATGTTTAAAAACCCAAACACCAGGGTATAGTTAGAGAGCATGTAGGGTAGAAAAGCTTTATCATTAGAGGTACAGACACTAATATCTGTACTGTCGACAGTAAAAGTACCCTAATATCTGTATCTTTATCATTAGATGTGCCCCCTTTTACCTGTATCTGTTGGCTCTTGCTGCTGTCCTCCAAGGCATTCCAGGCCCAGATTTCACGCCCTCAGAGCTGATTGGCTGAATCTTGTGTGTGACCCCAAGTGAACTTGCTGACTTTGTTCTCCTACGCTGGGCACCAGCTGACACCTGAGAAGTCAGACCAATGTTTAGAACCCAATGTAACAATAACTGCCGTGGGACAATCGTAATCATTAGATGTAATATCCTGCATTATTGATTGATATTAAATGGATGTGACAGTAACGTCACATGAAGCAGAAGACCAGCAGGAGACGTAATGATGACGGTCTCCGAGAGGCCCTGAAGCAGATATTGATCCCACGTTCCAATTAGAGCAATGACTTGTGGGAGAATAACATGCTTTGTTATTTAAGACGACGGCCATCAACATGACAAAAACTCGGGAGATTACCGCCTCAACTCAAGTGACAAACAACATTTGTAAGAAGAGCCATCTGAGCCTGAATTGTTTGTCCCTAGCTCAGGGGGTTATAAAGCTCTGAATGCATAAGCAGAGGATGTAACATGGAGTACAGGGAGGAAGAACCTCCCTTTGTTCATGCAATCATTGACACTATTCCCCTTACATTAATGCTGATTCTAATCCCTACAGTAAAATCCAAAAAATAAAAGTACTTGAGAGTGTTTTTCTTTACATATTAATCTGAATTATATAATAAACACTGACAATGAAACTTATCTTGGTATACAACTTACCGTTATAAGATAGTGGATTATAAGCAGCTTACCCTGATGGTGGTTTTTCGACCAAAGCTGCTGTTCAGTGTCTTGGTTCTCCTCTTCTTCTTTTTACCACTGTCTAAAGATTCCTCGGCTTTTATCCACTTGTACTGAAATCAATGAAGCAGTTATTTATTATAAATATTATTATATATTGCAAGACTGACAGATTCATTTTGTTTTATCATTTATTTTATGGCTTTTACACAACTTCATTTACATGCAATAGAATTTTAAAGACTACAGTATTTTAGAAATTCGTATGTTGTATGCATTCTTAGTTCTTTTTTAAATCTTTAAAATAGTATACATGTATCTAGAGATGTATAGAAAATATGTTATTAGGTCTTTTATGCCCCTCATAATCAAAGATGTGGGGGCATATAAGTTATTGGTTTGTCCATCTGACAGCCTTTTAATCTGTTGGATTTCAACATATTTCACCTCCTAACCCTGACCTTAGAAATCAATCTACTTTTGAAAAAAAATACTGAGCTTTAACCTTGGCTATAATTTTTGAAGAGAGGGTGTTAGAGCTTTTATATTTTATACATTTATTCTTTGTGACAAGTCTTTTCTTCAATTAAGGCTTCCATAAATTACACATTTTCCTTTTCCAAAGACCTTTCTTTGGGTACAATTTAAAAAAAAAATCTTTAAAAGATTGACCTTGGAGTTTGACCTATCATGGTAAATATGAAAAACTTTAACCTTGAACTTGGAGTTTGACCTACATATGAAAAACTTGAACCTTGACCTTGATCTGCTGTATATCTCTCACCTCTGTGTCCTGTCCATTACAGTTGATCATCAGCTGTTCCATGATGGAATGAACCACATCTCGATCTGAAAGGATTAATCGTATTATTTATTGGGAGAGTATGTATTTTTGATTTCTAATTTAGAATCTTTATTAATGCCAAAGAGTTATTTCCTTGTCCAAATATTTCCTTTTTTTTCTCATTCTCTGGTCAACCTACTGAAATATTAATAACAACAGCCATTAAAAGCCAACATTGAGAAATGTTCAAATGAAGAAAGGTACATATTAATACTATAAATAATTTATTATTTAGTTTTTATTTCACAAAAACATGCATACACATACAGAGAATAGAAGGCAGGCAAAGTTGTATTGTCTGCCAATAAAATACACCCACAATACTTTTGTCAGAGCTAGATATATTTTATTGAAGAAAGGTTGCATTAACAAGAATTTTTGTGATATTTGTGGGAGAGTAATTGTAGCTTTGGTTTGAGTTATTAGGGTTATTTAGTAACAATAAGAGCAATGAAAAATCATTTCGTAGAAAAGGAAACTTGGTGCAATATTGTTAGAATATTTTCTGCCTTATTACAATTTATTTTACCCAATTGCAGTGCATTGTATTGTGTTTCTTGAAACATACTTGTAAACATAATTAATATTTACATTATTATATCATTGACAAGTTATATAATTAATGATATTATGAGAAATTTATAATTCATTTCATGCAATCAAATGAAAATTAATAATTTGTAAGTAAAGCCATTGATTATTAAGAATTTCCTTCTAAACAAATCAGAAAAATTCTTTATTTTCTTTTCAAAAGACAAAATTGTTTTGACAATTACCGGTAGATACTAAACTAAGCAAGGTTCTTTTATTGTCCATCACCCTCCCCCAATAGAAAAAGAAACTAGAGGTACTGTGAGCAATGAGCTAACTAAATGATACCCACCACCTCCCATATGAATAAAATGGCAGTGTCCATGTTTTGCTATGGGAAACCCAAATATGTGTTGAATCAAAAAGTACTCAAGCTTTGTTACATGTATCTATCTTTTGGAGGATCTCTTGTCCTTTCTCTATTGTTGTACAGGAACATATTTAGAGAATGAACACAATTTTAACTGGTTTTACTGGTATTCTATTTAAGCATACTCTGCAAAGTTCCCATCCTTCCCTTTCTGTAATTAAGACTTACATGTATTCCTAGTTGTAAATAAAATCTTTTTTTCTAATGAAGATGAATAAGGCACTAAATTTTTGGGATGGATAGTGAGCTGTAATTGTGAACCTGTTAATGTACAACTCTTATCTCTTTTCTTCGAAATGAAAAGCATGAGACCATACTTGGGTTAATTTTGATTTGGAATAACTTTAGTTCTATTAACCACAAGTGCATAAAAATTTGCAGGTTTGTATCATAATCAAATTCATACACAATCTGAAAATTTTGTTTCATTATCAATTTTCATAATAATCAATTTTTTTTCCTTCTAAATTTTACTGCTTCTGTTTTCTGGGTTTCCAGTTTTAGGGGCTGCTGTCCAAGAACCAAGCTCATGTGACAACTGGAATCAGGAAACTAGTTTTCGGACACTAATTGTCATCTGGGATATCCGCTGTCTTGAGATTGAATCTCACACTGTCAATCAATGGATTTGTACTACCCAGTCAGAACGTACCTCCAGGATGTCATTACCAAATCGTGAAAGGCTAATTTGTCTCGGGTTGAAAACAAGTCTTCTTTTCAATTTTTTTTTCAATCATTTTTCTGATTACTTTCCCCAGTTTGATATTTATTTCTATATATAAAACTCACCCACTGTTTTTCCAATTATCCATTATGGGTTTTTTTTCTAATATTCCTACAAAGTCTCAAATTTAATATCAACATTAACAAGTTAATTCAGAATGTATTGGAAATAAGTAAAGGGATGGTTCTAAAGAGTAGTTTGTTCTGGTCATTTTAAATAGCACCCTAATTCCAAATCCTCTATAATGTTAGCTAATGAGAAAAAAGAAAGAAAACCCCATTTTCCCTGCATAATCCTCTAATACCAAATCCTCAGGAATCAAGATCTAAAGTCAAAAATCTCCCCACAAATTGTCTTCTGAAATATTAGTGTTATATTTTTTTTTTGTCCATATGCTGGTATAATACACAGAGATTAAGGCAAGCCTTTAATTAGATGTGTGATCAATATCTCCACTAAAGGAAGTCACTAATTAAAAATAAAATCCTGGATCCCTGTGATTAAGATTTAGGAAAGTGAAGAGAAAGCAGTCGCTTCTGTCTTATTTGAAGGAAGGATTTGAAATAAATATCAGTTAATGAAAGCAAGGAGAATTAGAAGCCATTAGGGAGAGGAGGGATTAAAGAGAGCTTTCAAATCTGACTTCTGTTTTGCTGACTTCTAAAGAAATTGTTGCCAACAAAACAAGTCCCAGAAGAACAAGATGACAAAAAGTCAGAAGAACTAAAAACTGTCAGTAACACAGGAACATTTGTCAAGATAACTCATCCTTTCGTTTAAAATAAAAACCCATTCCACTGAAACTTAAAATAAAAAGATGATAACTCTGTGTTTATACTTAAGATTGTACATACTGCAAGTAGCTTTTTTTTTAATTGAATGCCTTGATACAGCAAGAATCTGTCTTGCCTAAACAAACATGGACTCAAAAAGAAACTTTGCTTGATCCTGGTTTTTGATATATTCTTGTTTGTATGTCAGTGAGTTTTAATGTTAAAACTTAGTAATTTACATGATGTATGTATTTATATTCATGCAAACAGCACAATGTTACTCAAGTTATGTGGGGAGATGGATGGACAAGCTGGAAATACAGTTAAACAATGTTATCTCAGACTTGATTAGAGAAAAAACTCAAAATGTCCAAGGATTTGAGTTATTGATGCTATCAATAGTAACAAACAAAAACAACAAGAGGCCTTTATAAATTTTCATGATTTGAACAATCATTTTATGTAATGAAGCTTTCAAACAAAAAATTATCAGTTCTAGCACACACTTTGTTGAGAACACACTTTAATCTGTTTTGTTAAATGGAATATTAAGAAATTATTCTTCTTTCTGGGGAAGGGTAGGGGTGGGGGATGGGGGTTTACTATGTGTGACAGCTAGTGGACTTTTTACCTATGGGTGTGTTTTAAAAATCTGTTACAGTTGTTTACTTATGAGTGGGTTTTCATTTATGCAACAGTGGATTGTTTACTCATAAGTGGGGTTTATTATTTGTGACAGTTTAGTGTCTGCCAATGAGCGGGTTTTTATTATCTGTGTCAGTGGAATGTTTAGCTATGAGTGAGTTTTATTATGGTATTTCTATGAGTGGGTTTATTATCATTTTACTATTATCATTTCACCTATGAGTGGGCTTATTTTTCATTTTACCAATGACTGGGTTTTATTATGGTTTACCTATGAGTGGGTTTTATTATGGTTTACCTATGCCTTGGTGTTATTATGGGTTTTTTTAACCTATGAGTAGGTTTTTATCACATGTTTATGTAACTATGGAGTGTTACCTATGAGTGGGTTTTTATTACATGTTTATGTAACTATGGAATGTCACCTATTAGTGGGTTTTTATTACATATTTATGTAACTATGGAGTGTTACCTGGGTTTTTATTACATATTTATGTAACTGTGGAGTGTTACCTGGGTATTTATTATGTTTATGTAACTATGGAGTGTTACCTGGGTTTTTATTACATGTTTATGTAACTATGGAGTGTTACCTATGATTGGGTTTTTATTACATGTTTATGTAACTATGGAGTGTTACCCGAGTGGGTTTTTATTACATGTTTATGTAACTATGGAGTGTTACCTATGAGTAGGTTTTTATTACATGTTTATGTAACTATGGAGTGTTACCTATGAGTGGGTTTTTATTACATGTTTATGTAACTTTGGAGTGTTACCTATGAGTGGGTTTTTATTACATGTTTATGTAACTATGGAGTGTTACCCGAGTGGGTTTTTATTACATGGTAATGTAACTATGGAGTGTTACCTATGAGTACGTTTTTATTACATGTTTATGTAACTATGGAGTGTTACCTATGAGTGGGTTTTTTTACATGTTTATGTAACTAGAGAGTGTTACCTATGAGTGGGTTTTTATTACATGTTTATGTAACTTTGGAGTTTTACCTATGAGTAGGTTTTTATTACATGTTTATGTAACTATGGAGTGTTACCTATGAGTGGGTTTTTATTACATGTTTATGTAACTATGGAGTGTTACCTATGAGTGGGTTTTTATTACATGTTTATGTAACTTTGGAGTGTTACCTATGAGTAGGTTTTTATTACATGTTTATGTAACTATGGAGTGTTACCTATGAGTGGGTTTCTGCGCACATCCAGTACCACAATAGTTGTGTTGTACTTGAGGACATCCAGTAACTGTCGGGCTCCCTCTGTAGAAATCCCACAACTCTGTAGGTCCAGGGCTGCAACAACAAGTACAACCAATCAAAATTAAAACAGTGGATCAGTCTATAAATAACTACCTTATAACATGCATCATCAATGAGAGGAAACCATTACATAATAACCAAAGTTTTAATTAATTGAGATTCAATTCCAATCATGATTAAACTGAGCAGAAAATGATAAAATCTCAATCAAACTTATGTAATGTAAGAATTAAATCTTAAGTAACCTTAGGTATTAAGTGCAAATAGTTTGACTCTGACACACAGAATCTCATAAAAATTTATATATTGAGTCTGTCATAGAACATTTAAACAATCTTAGTAAATAAATGCATATAGTGAAATAGACATAAAGGGAAGCACAAGAGACAGACAATTTGGCTCATTAAAAGATACAGTTCTTTCTATTGAAAATTTCCCAGTATATTTTAAAGCCACAGGGAAATAAAATTCACTTGGATGTAAGCTTGAATTCATAATATTCAAATAATCATGTTTGTTATAAGTGTGTTTACTGTATTCAAGTATCAGCAATAATATGTTGATCAATGTCACTTGGTGGAATCTCAATTTGTTATCTTACAAGTTGATTGTATGTTAGAACACCAGTAACCTTCAGTTTGGAGTAACTGACACCCGATAACAATCTGTCGTGACTAATACACAAATCTTTAACTAACACCCAGACATTAAGATCCCCCACCTTTGAGCCAGAGGTCGTCTTTGAGAGCCTCGGCCAGCAGTGCTGCCCCCTGGTCCCCGAGCATCGGATTGTTGTTGATGGTGATCCGACGGATGCCTGGCATTCTGTCAAGGTCGGGTCGCCGGTAACGGAGACTGTCTCTCCACGCCTCATTGTGGCGCTTCATAGCCTGGTGCTGAAATATAATGGAAATTATTTGTTTAATGAGTGCTATTACAGTATGTGTTATGCTATGCTAAACAATGAAACTTGTCTAATCCTGATGCTGTCTTATCTGAAATCTTGGTCTAATACAGTGTAAACTGTAAGTCCCATTGCAGTAAATCTAATTGTGGTTAATGTTGTCTGATCAAAAATGTTGCCTCATCTGTTCAATTTCTTGAGAACTAGTTGTGTCCAGATTTTTACTGTATAAGTATGTGTTCAAATTGTATGAATATGTTGCAAGGAAATGCTTTAATTACAGCCTGATGCTGGAACAAAGCAAAAAATTGAACAATTTGATTGCAATTTCTATAATGAGTGCTATTACAGTAAGTGTTGGGCATATAATATTTTAACCATTAGCAACTGATGAGATTGTAGCTCCATTGATTTTTAATTTCAAAAATAAATTGAGAGCAAAAGCTTCATGGCCTGGTGCTATCAGTAAAGATATTAGAAAATCTAATACATTTTTAAAAAATATTCCATTGTGAGCAGGAACTCAAAGTATTACAATACGGAAGAAAAATTGATGGTACAATAAAAAATTCCGTACAGAATAATGTATGACAGCAACAATTTGTATCATGATAAATGTTAGCATTTCCTCTCAGTCAACTCAAACAGTAATGAACCCTGAGGATATAAAAATGTCTGAGCCTCTAACAGCGACAGGAAGCAGACATCATGTGATGCTGACAGTGCAGCTATTTGTCTGTTAATGGCCTGTACACATAGTCTACAGTCATTAGTGAACACGTTAGGAAGCTGTATGAAGGATAAGTAAGAATTTGTCACAAACGGCTCTCACTAATTACCCTGTCTGTTACAAAATGTCAGACAAATGTGAGTTTTATTGTTTCTTCAAGAAAATGTAGAAAATGATGTGTCTGGAGATAGTTAAAAAATATTTAGAGCTGAAGCAATAAAACCAGGGTTAATTATGGACATTCAAGTAATTGTCTCACTTCTTTTGATTTTGTGGAACTTTAAAAAATGATGATCAAGCTAATTAGTATGTTATCTTTCAAACTTATAATCCAGTAGCAGTACCATGACCATTAGGACCAACTTATATATGCTCACTTTCCAAGGAACATATCACAACGCCAAAACCCAGGGGCAAAACCCTGGGGTCCACCATCATAAAACATACTTAAGTCTGAGAATGCTCTCAAGTCTGAGAATTTTCTCAACTCTAAAATTCTCAGACTCAGTGGCCATCATAAAAAGTTGAGAAAAATAAAAATTCCTTAAACTCTGATATATTCTCAGCTGAGTAAATTCTCAAGACTTGAGTTGAGAATTTTTTTTGAGAATTCTCAAAGTTTTATGATGGCGGACCCTGATTTCTGTTAGACAGAGGTGTATACAGACATTGTGCAGGTGAATATTTCATTTATCAACCAGGAATACTTTAAACCTAGAGTTTTGCAAACAACTGAAAATGTAACTTCAATTTAATTTACCAAAATACTGAGCTCGACAACTCTGACCTTTTCATTCTTCATACACTTCAAATTACTCTGTCATAATGTTTCTATCTGAGAAAATCTATCATCATTAACTGGTCCATTATCTGAGCTGGTCTCTGTGTGTATTCCTTTACATAACTCAATCAGTCACAGATCAAAGACATTCTATTACATTTCCTGACCCTGACCTTTATCATTAAAAACTAAATGTTGCATTATTATCAGTAGAAATTGTAGCATATAAAAGACTGCGCAAGCGAGAATCAGTCTCGTCTAATTGCTAATTAATCAAATTTAATTGTCCAGTTTGTCAATATTTGCTGAGGATTGAAGCTTGTGAAAATAATAAAAATCAATTGCTGAAGAAGTCAGGCCTGAAGACTGCGGGCTCGCTCGTTAGAGATGACGAGCTTTACTAATCAGTACGGAGCCCGCTCTGTCAATTATAGACTTCAGCCAGGCTCGTTTGTCAAAAGCAACAGAAAGAATACAGACCCTTACTTAGAGTGTAAGAAAACAGTATTAGGTGTGGGTTTTTTCCAAATTGCACTGGAAAAGTCAACTTTTCAGACAAATTTTTATTTTTAAAATTTCTAATTAAATTTTTTTATAAATTGCCTAAACTGCAAAGTCTGCTTGCAACATAAAATCATGTGAATTTTAATTTACAAAATATTAAATTATTGGAAAAAATTACAAAGATCTCTGAAATCATCTGAGAAATGGTCTACTCTGCAATTGTAAGTGCTAGCTAGCTGGATCTCTATCAACGGCAAGCTATATACAGCTCAAAGTACAGCGCAAACTCCACAGAACAAAATACAAATTACAGTGTGAATAAATACTGTTAAACAAATGATATTAAATGCTAATCGAGGCTGGTGTATTGATGGGGACTGGTCAATATTGACAGGATCCTCTTGTTTCCTGGAGCTGGCCACCACTGGCTGACCTCATTAGAATTAATTAACATCTACAGTCCGTTACCAGGTCCTGGGTGTACACTCAGTCTCCACTCCATACTATAGAGAGGCTGCTGGTAAGGATGTATTAAGACTTCTAGTGACACTGAGTAACCAATAAAAGGGCTGCGTTCACTACTAGGAACTATATGGATATTGACTATTCAAGGATTCATTGTTACAGGTGCTTTCTGGGTAAATAAAGTAAGTATAACAGAATATTGGACTTAAGATTAATTAGCTTGAAAATGCCATTAATTTTTTTTATATTTTGAATGTACCTCTTGCAAATATTCTTAATTACTGGTACTAAATTATTTTCATTTTGGGATATAATCTGATAATGAAAAATAATTCTATTCATATCATTCATATTTTTATTTCTAAAACACTTTCTAATGGAGTAATTGATCACAATATAAAATAATAAATGTAATTCATACTTAAATATTTTTAATTTTTATGTCCTTATGTTACTGATGTTCAGGACTATGGCTCTCTTTTTGCCATTTGAAAATTTATTATATTCCTTCTCCATATATCTCCATATATTTCACTCTTTTTAAGTTTTAATTTCAGTGAAACTTAAGAAAGTTCAACCTTTTTGACAGGGATGCCAAAATGAGGATAATTCATTATTTAGTTTTAAGGGCTTTAACTGAGGACTATTGAATTACTGTGTTAACTCTTTAAAATATTTCTTAGATATTCTAGTGGAAACTGCATACACATTTACATGTACTTGATTTGATTAGTGTCTGATCAAATTTTTGTTTATAATTCCAAGAAATGGGAAATGTGTAGATGCTACTAAAAAAAAAAAAACAAACTTGGCAACTAAAATACAACTGGCAATGCAAAATGATTTGAATGTTGTAGGCTATAATCACCGGTGATATTTGATCACTGATCATATCTTTTCTTAATTTCATCTTGACTAAATATATAAAATTAAGTTGCAAAACCTTATAGAAATCTAGGGTTGTCACTAGGAAATCATTATAATTATGCAAGATACATTTTACACCTTCACTTTTTTTTACTTATGAATCAAAAGGGGTTGGAAGTTATGATGTAACATTTTATCAAATATTACCTCAAACAAAACTTTTATATGGAAACTATATCTGCCTTGTATGGATTTCTGACCTTGAACTTTGACCTGATCTTGAATCAATAGTGGTCCTTTCTATGTCTTAAAGAGTTGTGATATAATAAAAAAAATCAATTTATAAGGCACTCTGTAATGCATAAAGAAAACTTATAAATCTAAGAAATCCTTTTGAATTGCATGTAATGAAAGAACTGACTCAAGTTTGCATGACAACAAACTCCAAGACCCCAAAAATAATAGCCAAGAAAAACCATCCCAGTGGTAAATTATAGTCCTAAGATATCTGGAAATTGTGTAAATATTTATAGAAATCAAGCCCAGCTTGTGTGAGAGAGTCTCATTAAGGCACATTAAACATGTTGTTTGTCCATGAAAATTCCTGGAATGGCTCACAAATCATACAGGTCTTCTAAGAATGCCAATAATTCCATCTCAAAAGTAAAACCATGGATAAATTCTTTGGCCACAATGAAAGGTTTTTTCATGGAACATCAGTAGAGTAAATCCAATAACAAAAGACTGGAAAAGGTTTGATGAGTATCCATTGTTTGTTATGAGTTGCAGTACATTAACATCAAAAACAGTTTGCAAAGCATTTTAAATAGATGTTCAACTGGTTTGTTCATTAACTTGCCAAATTGGTTTTGAACCTGCGACTATGAAAATGGAACTAAAATTTAACTTTTTGAAAAATAAATCTAATGAGACATATCACATCAAAAGATTATTTCGTGGATGTTTAAGTTTCTTTTATAAATTAAGCAATGAAAGACCAATGTATCCTTATAGTATAAGCTCTTTATTTTTATGTAGGATTTTTTTTTGTACAATTTTTTTTTAAGGGAAAAAAAAATTAATTATGTTTGCATAGTTACAAAAAAGACATTTTGAACCTTAAAATTTGTTGTTGGCTGATGCACAATAAAAAAAATAATTTAAAAAAGCCAAGAAGAGCCTAAATTTGAAAACCAATTCCAAGTATATTCTATATTTACTCTGCATACTATAGGAAGTAAGCCCTACTCTTTGGACCTCCCATGGGACATCTATATACAACATTCTCTATTAAACAATTAATGTAGATGATTAGATATACTAGTCATCTATTGTAGCTACACTGTAAGTCTCTTCTTCTGATCTTCCGTTCAATACTTCCAAACTCTTCAATCATCTAAGATTAATGGTATTAATTGATGAGGTGTTTTTCTCCGATATGATGAGATTTTTGTCCCTGGGTCTCTGAAGGGACTGAGCCTGACAAATCACTCACAGGAGGGAATTAGCTCAAAATCAACAGATCAATGTTATAGACGGCAGTGTAAACAGATCAATGGCTCTCTCTTCATCTTGTCCATACAGGGAACAGCAAAAATAATTACAGAACACCTTAGGCCAGCCATATCTCATGTAGAGGGTGGTCTCTAAGGTTAAATGATTGCCTTCGGAAAATATTATTAAATTTCTGATTCCGTGCTACTATGCAAAATTAACACTCACTTCAAACAGTAATGGTTGCTTGATCAATCAAGTGAGTAAATTTGCTGAGAATTTTTTAAAGCAAGACCTATGACAATAATGATGAAAACATGTAGCAATGTGACTTAAAAAAAGGCTTCATTCAACAAAATTTATGCATGTATATGTTTCTATGAAAATTTTGGTGATGAAATTCTTTTAAAAAGATCTCACAAGAAGTTCTGTTTCCTCTCAGGAGACCATTTTCTTCTGATGATGTTTTTGTGAAGGAAGAATTCTTGACTGAAAAACTTTTATCTTGTTATTTTTCTGACCTAAAAATCACTAGATAAAAGTTTTTCAGTTCTTCCTACACAAAAAACGTCATCAGAAGAAAATGGTCTCCTGAGAGGAAACAGGCCACGTAAGGAGAAGATCTAATTTAACAGTCCCCATTCTGTAACTATTCCTGGTCAAGTTGTTTACCGCAGTATTAAGGGTTCTAATCTGTCCCTCTGAGACACAGACTAGCAGAGTATTTCATTAGGATTCCGATCAGAGCTCAATCCAGACTATTTAAGATGAAGCTCGATTTTGTTGTCGTCAGTGATATGATTATGTGAAGTCAACCCAAGTTTTATGGATTCCAGTAAATACTCTAGTTCATGGTAAACATTTGATCGAATGCGATTCCAGCATCACCGATGCGCTTCGCCGCAAGTCACGCGTGATGATGCGAGACTTGTACAGACTGGGTGCAACGTGCAAAGATGGCGTAACGAACTTTGTCAACATTGCTTTTAATTTAGATCTATCTTACTTTCACGATAACAGCAACCATTGCGATGGAGAAAACAGACAGATTTACTCGCGAGTGGTTTCTGCATCAAAAGGGGGATTGGGTTCGTACGTTATCAAAAATTCCTGAGTTCGATGTAGGCAAATTAAAGCATTATTTGACTGAAAGTAGAAACAAGACTTTTGACAAAGAAGGTATGAGAGCTTACAAATCGTTAAAAGCGTACAAGTTTTTTGAGGAGGGGTATGTGCAGAAGATTTCGTCACTGCAGATGGACAATTCTTTCCTTGCACGGGCAGAGGTGATGGCTTCCATGGCACAAAGAGTGTACAAACCGTACGTTTGTCTAAGTCTCGAAGGGGATGTCCAGGGTGGATCCTGTGATTGTGTCGCAGGGTGAGAACTTATTTCATGAATAAATAATGAGCTCTGAGCATGGAATTTCCCTATTTTATTAATACACTTTAACAGACCATCCAGCAAGGCAGTGGTTTAATTTATAAACTACTCAGGCACTGTTATTAAGCACTGTATTTGGTAAATAAAAAATAAATATAAGGACATTAAAAAATATATATATGTTTGGTTGCCTTATCCCCGTCGACTGGCTAAAAATTGACCAACTAAAAAAAATTAACTACCAGGAAGTATTTTCAAATTTTGAAAATTCAGCATATTGAATTTGAAACTCTTTTTTTTTGCATGTTTTGGGAACATATTCTCCCCGAGGCCCTACCATCCCCATTCTTTCATCCTGGAAGAGGGCAAGCAAACATATTTTTTTTAATTCAATGACCTTAAAAAAGAAAAATTGTGTCAGGTACCAAACAAACAAAGAAAATCAAACAACACTTAATTGTTGTATAAATCAAGCTACTTTTTTTTTTTTAAACAATACTTCATTATTTCATAGATTATTATATACTTTAAATGGATTTTATGTAGCACTGTACTCTATTCAGCAGAAAACGTCTGCTAAATCATGACGTACATTTCTAAATGTCTTGTTTATGTAGATTTATATCGCGCACATTGAGATAGTGCTAAATCAAATCTGTGCCAACTTGAAACATAAATTTCTGCCAAATATCAAACAAATAAAATATAATACATTTAGAATAAATTCATGGATATGGGTTTGATACCCATGGATATTGAAGATTCCACAGTGCTAGAGAAAATAAATACAAAATATGAATACATGTACTGCTTATGGGCATGAGAAATTTGGTTTTAAAATATTGCCCTTTGAGGCCCGACATGACAATTTTAATTATTTTAGACTATAATTTGTAGGAAGGGTGAGGCATGCAGCCATATAGCAGCATTGCTGTTTGCTTTGGATGACTTTGTTGCTAAGGGACTGAAAGATCTACCAGAGGACAGGTCTTCTACAGAAAAATTGTGCCAATGGAACAAACCAGCAAAGAGAAAGACAGAGCCTAAAACTATACACAATATCAGGATAGTCAAGTATGGTCATTATTAATGAGTAATTCACATTCATTATTACATGTAGTGTAGTATGTACTTTTATGATTAAGGAGTAAAGATCACTAGACAATGAACATGTTGAAGGGTTCTACTATTTTTAAGGAATAAATTAAGGAAAGATGATACTTGTTTGGAAACATCCACAGTTCAGATACAGCAAAACTCATCTAGTTCGAACTCGGATAAAGTGAACTCACGGATATAGCAAAAACTTTTCCTGGGTCCCCGGCAAAATTTTTAACAATTGAAATCATTGTAAAATTTTATGGTTATAGCGAACTCTGATATATAAACGAATTTACAGATATAGCGAACTTATTTTGAATCCCGTTGAGATTAAATATAATGAAATTTACATGTTTTATAATGAAATTTCAAAGATTATTAAAAAATTGATAAATTGAACTTACTTTATTTCCTTTTAGCATTTGTCTATATATTTCTATTCATAAGAAAACCTTAGTTATTGAAGATATATTTTGTAATACTTGCTTCACTAACATAGTAGGTAATAATACTTGAAGGAAAACATGCATACTGCAAATTCGCTATACTGGTTATACGAATTTGTGATACGGATATAATGAATTTCAGATATAGCAAATTGAATTCACAGGTCCCCAGGACTTTGCTATAACCGGGTTTTACTGTATTTAAGTTTGTTCAAATGATGACCCCTGGAGTAAGGTGGGACTGGCACAATGAGCACACATGTAAATAACCATAAAAATTAAAGCAAGTTTAAGTACAAAAAATATAGCAGTATTGATCTCTTTGTTTCATTGAAAATATTGATTGAAAAGCACACACTGCTAGTAAAGAAATACTACATAATTCATTATTATTGTAGGCAGGAGCCAGGAAAAGTGGTGAAAGGGAGGGAGACCTTGGCATCCTTGAAGTTTGATCCTCGCCCACCTGTAGATCAACTTCAAGAAGAGGAATCCAAATCTCGTTTGACTGAAGCTTTGGAAGGTGCCAATCCAACGTGTGGTTTCATTAAGTATAACAAGCCAGTTCCTGATGTTCCCAACGTTACTGAGTCTTCTCTACTCACCAAAGAAATAGTGTCTACTGTTAAACATTTTACAGATTTTGAGTTGCCTCCAAGTATATTAGACTTAAAAAATGCTTGCATGTACTTTAAAGACTCTTTACATCTGGATGGTAATGAAATAGTTGAATTGGAATCAAGAACAAGGGGTCAGTCAAGCTCGCAAGAATGGCACAGCGCTAGAAAATACAGACTCACTGCATCTGACTTTCACAAAGTGTTTGTACGCAGAAGTACAACGGATCCATCAAAACTTCTAAGATATTTTTTATATAACAAAATGAAACCGACAAATGCAATGCTGTTCGGACTACAGCAAGAAAAAAAAGCTATTGAGAAATTTAAATCTAAGTTGTTAGAACAGGGTATACATGACGTTATTGTTGAACAAAAAGGCCTGGTTGTTGATTCACACTGTACATTTTTAGGGGCTTCTGTTGATGGCATTGCTTTGATAAATGGCGAACAATTCGTTTTAGAACTGAAAAATCCTGCTTCAACATGGGACATGGACATACCATCAGCAGCAAAGAAGTTGCCCTGCTTGAAAATGAATGAAAATAATGAGGTCTGTCTCAATGTAAAACATTCTTATTATACTCAGATTCAGGGACAAATGGGAATCTTAAATATTTCAAAATGTTACTTTGTTTTGTGCACTAAGAATGACATTCATATAGAGATGGTTACATTTGACAAACATTTTTGGGAGAGGGTTTTACATAAACTTACACAGTTTTATGATTATTTCATGTTACCAGAAATTGTTTACCCCTCTGTGAAATTTGGTCTGCCAGCTTTTGATATATCAAAATTTTGAATCAAGGTGTTGTACATATATGGTGTCATGACTCCTTCGCCATTCAAATCCCTTCATGGTACTTATGCGAGAGAAAAGGGAAGTGAACTTTCAAATAACAATGTGTGTAGTGCATGACGTTGTCAACTTAATTTCTACATCTAGGATCATTATTTGTGTTACAATACATAAGTGATTACATCATGCTTTGATATACAGTATATTATTAGCTCACCTGAGCCGAAGGCTCAAGTGAGCTTTTCTGATCAAAATTTGTCCGTCGTCTGTCGTTGTCGTTGTCGTTGTTGGCGTTGTCGTTGTTGTCGTTGGCGTTGTCGTTGTCGTAAACTTTTCACATTTTCATCTTCTTCTCAAGAACCACTGGGCCAATTTCAACCAAACTTGGCACAAAGTATCCCTGGGTGAAGGGGATTCAAGATTGTTCATATGAAGGGCCACGCCCTCTTCCAAGGGGAGATAATTATGAATTAGTGAAAAAATTATTAGCATTTTTAAAAAATCTTCTTCTCAAGAACCACTGGGCCAGGAAAGATGAAACTCCTGTGGAATCATCCTCAGGTAGTGTAGATTCAAGTTTGTTCAAATCATGACCCCCAGGGGTAGGGTGGGGCCAAAATGGCTGACCAAAGTTTTACATAGGAATATATAGGAAAAATCTTTAAAAATCTTCTTCTCAAGAACCACTGGGCCAGGAAAGATGAAACTCCTGTGGAATCATCCTCAGGTAGTGAAGAGTCAAGTTTGTTCAAATCATGACCCCCGGGGCTAGGGTGGGGCCAAAATGGCTGACCAAAGTTTTACATAGGAATATATAGGAAAAATCTTTGAAAATCTTCTTCTTAAGAACCACTGGGCCAGGAAAGATGAAACTCATGTGGAATCATCCTCAGGTAGTGTAGATTCAAGTTTGTTCAAATCATGACCCCCTGGGCTAGGGTGGGGCCAAAATGGCTGACCAAAGTTTTACATAGGAATATATAGGAAAAATCTTTGAAAATCTTCTTCTTAAGAACCACTGGGCCTCGAAAGATGATTCTCATGTGGAATGATCCTCTGGTTGTGTAGATTCAAGTTTGTTCAAATCATGACCCCCGGGGCTAGGGTGGGGCCAAAATGGCCGACCAAAGTTTTACATAGGAATATATAGGAAAAATCTTTGAAAATCTTCTTCTTAAGAACCACTGGGCCAGGAAAGATGAAACTCATGTGGAATCATCCTCAGGTAGTGAAGATTCAAGTTTGTTCAAATCATGACCTCCGGGGCTAGGGTGGGGCCAAAATGGCTGACCAAAGTTTTACATAGGAATATATAGGAAAAATCTTTAAAAATCTTCTTCTTAAGAATCACTGGGCCAGGAAAGATGAAACTCCTGTGGAATCATTCTCAGGTAGTGTAGATTCAAGTTTGTTCAAATCATGACCCCCGGGGCTAGGGTGGGGCCAAAATGGCCGACCAAAGTTTTACAAAGGAATATATAGGAAAAATCTTTAAAAATCTTCTTAAGAACCACTGGGCCAGGAAAGATGAAACTCATGTGGAATCATCCTCAGGTAGTGTAGATTCAAGTTTGTTCAAATCATGACCCCCGGGGCTAGGGTGGGGCCAAAATGGCCAACCAAAGTTTTACATAGGAATATATGGGAAAAATTTTTAAAAATCTTCTTCTTAACAATCATTGAGAAAGGAAAGATGAAACTCATGTGGTATCATCTTCAGGTATTGTAGATTCAAGTTTGTTCAAATCATGACCCCCGGGGCTAGGGTGGGGCCAAAATGGCTGACCAAAGTTTTACATAGGAATATGTAGGAAAAACTTTTAAAATCTTCTTCTCAAGAACCTTTGGGCCAGGAAAGACGAAACTTATGTGGAATCATCCTCAGTTACTGAAGATTCAAGCTTGTTCAAATGATGACCTCTGGGGCTAGTTTTGGGCCCAAAATGGCTCACCAAATTTGTACATAAGGATATAAAGGGAAACCTTTTAAAATCTTCTTTTCAAGTACTTCAAAGCCATGATTAGTGATATTTTTCTATTTATATGGAATCATGGAATCATCCTCAGGTAGTGTAGATTGTACATTGTTCAAATCATGACACCCAGGTGGGTTAAAAAACGCCCCCCCCCCCCCCCACCGGTTAACTTTCAGTTTTGATCTGATATGTGCTTTTTCCTAGTAGTTGTGCTCAGGTGAGCGATGTGGCCCTTGGGCCTCTTGTTAAGAATACCATGTTTACTTTTTTCCATATTAAAATGAAGAGGTGTTCCATATGTTAGTGATTTTTTTCAAATCTTGTTAGAAGTTAAATGAGGTATTGATGAAAATGCAATGAATTCTCGTATTATCCAAAGTTGATTCCCTCTATTAAATTATGTAACATTTAGTACATATTTGTCAATTCATTGAACATTATGGTTGTTTTACACATATATGTTGTATTAACTTTATGTTACACATTAACATTTGTACCATAGTAATTAGATTAAATGAATAATTATTTGACCTTTCTGAACTTGTGTGTCATAATAATAAGTCAAGGTCAAAATAAAATATTGAAAGCCAAATTTAAGTATGTCAGTTTATATTACAGTTATACTGGTAATTAATTTCTTCGAGGTCATTTTAGGTAAGGCCTAGAAAAAAAATATGTTTGTTTCCGCTTTCCCGACCGACCCTAATTTATAGTGCCGACCCTTAAATTTTTTCTAATGCTTTTGTCCCATGTAGTGCAAGATTTCACCCAGGGAATTATAGTCTCTAACTTCGTAAGCTTTTCAAGACAGAAAGAAGTTTGAGTCACCTTTCTATTAAAAGTTTAAGTCACAGAAATGCTTGAAAACACCATTTCTTTTGTCATTAATGTTACTTCTATACACGTTTTGATTAAAAAAGTTAAAAAAAAAAATTTCAAAAAAAAAAATTTGCCTACCGATCTACCCTATAATTTTTTTTCAGCCTGAAAGTGGAAACAAACATATTTTTTTCTAGGCCTAACCTTAGCTTGAAGAAGTTTTTCTGATTGAAAATTGGCTTCTGTCGGTTATCTTCTACTATTTACATTTACATACTCTGAAGAATTGTTACCCCTGACTCTGAAAGGATAAGACATTACTGTGTAGAAACTGAAAAGAATTATTTAAAATCAAGACAACTGGTGGTATGACTATGTTGGGGTCACAATAGGAGATCAAAGTTTTACTATATGCATAGGATATACTAAGTATAGGGCCACCAATAAAGAAAATGTTTGTTTGATGTACTCCGACCAACCCATTGAAATTGCCCCTACCCATTAATTTTTTTTCAGCACTTTGATTTTTTTTTTAGTTTCTATAGTATACCATAATTTTTCTAGGATGTGTTTTGATTTAAAGTTGTATAGCAATAAATAATCAATTTGTATACTAAGCTATCCATGTAATGCAAACATCAATAAATTTCTGAGTCTGACTTTTATGACAGTAATCATTTTGTCCAATACTGTAAAGCAAAAAAAAAAAATTAAAAAAAATTAATACCTACCTACCAACCTTGAAAAATGTGGGTGGTAGTACATCAAACAAAAATATTTTTACTGATGGTCTAGGTGGGAAAACTGCAGACCTTTACTGACTTGGATGGAAATATGGCTATTTGTTTCTTACAATTATCAGCTAGTGGCATAACTTTCCCACTATACATACAGTAAACCATGATTACAGCGAATACCCTTATAATAAATTGATGCTCATACCAAAGTGATTTTCAGTCCCCATATAGAAATAATACTGTAAACTTATTGTATATAATGAATTACACTTACAACAAAGCAAAATTGTCCCTGGCATTCGTTAGAAGCATGTTTTACTGTAATTTCAGTCAGGCAATTGAATTGAATGCTTTTGCTAATCACTCATAAATTTTGTATTAATTTAATTTACGGTTATGCAATCTGAGAATTAAATGCACAAAAATTCTCTGCATTTCAAAGATTTTAATGTAGCAAAAAACATTTTTCTTGTAATATCAAAGCAAAACATGCATTACAATAAAGTGAAGTATTATAAAGCATGATAGCTAGGAAAAAAATTGATTTCCTTGAATAGACCATTACAGGTAATAATATGCATATGTCCGGTTTACATTGTACAGAGTAACTGCATGTACATTATTTCATCAACTGTCAAGAGTGCAGAACAAATGATATTACCTAAAATCTCAAAAACTATACTTCATTTATTTTATGATAGGAGTCTGAAAATTGATTAACAATGCACAAGTTTTAAAGATATCATCAGCAACAATATGCAAACTTAGAGGCATAGTTCTGTCTAAAATGTGAAAAGTTTTTATTCTCTGAATCGCTCTTTCGATGTGGATTCTAACCTCAGCAATTCGGCGTGTAGTTTCTACCTGTTCACTGGACAACTGAAAATTTCCATTGCGAAATGGGGGAATGTTTAAACTAGCACCTCTTTTATTTAGCTCCGCATCAATTTCAAAGCCTCGATCGGCCATGACATTGTCACCCAGTTCTATGAGGTCAAGTATGCCAGAGTTTTGAACAATGAATTTATCTGATGCAGCTCCTCCATACAAAGTTGACACATAGGACACAGTTCCATCAGGAGTTATTCCAACCAGCGCCTTGTACGTGTTTCGATGTTTATAAGAACTCCATGTTTCTCGCTGAGCTTTTAAAGCTGAAGGTTTTTGGATAGGAATTTCAGTACAGTCCAGTATTATTCTAGTATTTTCAAACTTGCTAAAAGAATCTGGTCTTAAACTCTGTACCTTTTCCCTACAAGGAAAAGGAAACAGCACCTCCAACTCCAGACGTAGAAAACGAATCCAAGTGTTAAATATTTTTGAAAATAGAGATGCAGAAATATCAAAGCGGTTAGCAATATCTTCAACTAAATGCCCAAGTTTTAAACGTACTAACACTGCAAAAAATTCATTTTTAAGGCTCAGTTTCCTGGAAGGGCCTTTGTTTTCATGAGTTCGAACTGTAGTTTCATTTCCTTGCCAATAGGTCATTTTAGATGCTTTTGGTTCAAAATAGGTAAATAAAGCATTGAAAGTTTCTAAATTTGGTAAACCAGTGTAAAACTGGGCATTTTCATTACAAGTCATTAAGTTTTCAACACAGAACAATTTCTTGTTTAAACATGCATTTTCTTTAGCAAGTAGTTTTACTTTTTCTTGTAGTTCATTAATAAGTTTTTGGTGATGTTTAAGGGGGATGTACGGCCACTTTTAGTGCAGTGAGAGCAAAATGTAAACATTTCTTCAAATGGCTAAAATACATTATATTTTGATCACATTTTAAGTCTTTTTGATAAAGATACAATAAATATGCATAACCGAATGCATGTTGTGCATATATAATCTATACTTTTGCAGAAAAATGCTTTTGATATGCTCCTTAGAACTGCGCAGCTACAGAATTCAGCAGAGCCTTAAAAAATCCAAAAAAATATGCAAACTGTGCATTAATGTTCTCTCTACAATCATTTGTTGAGAAAATGTCTAAATTTTGCACTTTTAAATGATAATTTCAAGTTCAAAACAAGGTACCGTTGTCTTCAAAAAGAGTGTAAAGAACCATGAAAGTAGTTCATGGATAGCAGCACGTGGTCTATTTTTAGCACAGAATCTTGTTTTCCAGACCTCTTCTTAATATGGAGGGGCATAACAATCTTTAAATGTAGAAGAGAATTACAGTTGCAAAATATTTCAAATAATATGAACACTTTTAAAAGAGGAAAGGTGTTATAGTGTGGCTTGAAGTAATTTATTTAGTATTATCATCGAACAGTTGTTAAATAGTTTACGTATTGATATAAAAAAAAAATTTAAACTCTTTGATTCCAGGTAAGGAAAAATGAGCACCATCAAAGTTAAAAATTAAGAGTTTGTAAGTTTGCCACAGATAAATTATATTATCTATTAAAATTTTAATTATCACCAATAAAACACAAAGAAATTAGACACATAAAATTGATACGAATGACCTTGTTTTAGTACCTACTAGT